CATAAAAGCAGGTTTCTGACCAAAACTTTCCCTTGAGTGTAATGTGGGTTGTCCAATGGCCTCTGCCTCAGAGTCAGCTGTGTTTCAGCAGTGGCATATATAATCGAGGAAGCAACCCAGGAGTCTTTGGAGTGAAAGGTGATACATCATAATTAAATATTGCTGCATAGTCTCCAGTGCTTTGTGGTGAATGGTTTTAAAAAGATGGAGCATAAGGAGGTTTCCAGTATTCCTGGTATTTTGCAGGGATTAGGGATTTCATAACTGTTGCATGAGAGAAATGTGAGACCCAAAGGCAATACAGTGGATGTGGGATTTGGTGGACGTGAGCTCCATTTCACTTTCAGCACAATGCTCTCAGACTTGAGTGTGCCTCAGTTTCCCCTTATCCATACATTTTATACGCAGACATACGTATATATTTCATTTCCTTCTTGAGACATTTTGGACTCCATGGGTAAAACAAAGGCAACCTCTGTAGCTACAGTCATACCTGAGATTAGTGTACAGTGGGATTTGGGCAACATCTCTTTAAACTGCTCTGAGCTCTCTGCTGGTGCTCTCTGTATTTAAGAAAACCAGAGAGAGCAGCAGCACAAACACTGGGCAGCTGAACCCAGCTTACCTGTGTTTGCCTAAGCAGTGGTGCTTCTGTGCTTCTGTTTGCTTGCTGCAAATGCAATTGTTTCTGGGTACCAGGCAAAAGCTGTGTCAAGCATTCATTTTTGGAGCATCACAGATACATTTCTCCCCTTCTAGCTCCAACTTTCTACTTTCGCCTTTGTTTTTATCCTTAGCAAATTTTCACTTTAATCACTTAATAGCCCTGATACTCAAATACTTGCAAGTGTGAGCTATTTCTCAAAGCAGGAAAAGACAGAGCATTGGAAGCCTTAGTGGCAAGCACCTACATGACCCAAAGGGAGGTCTTCTCCTTCAGGCCTTTGCCTCTAGGACTGTGTCTGAGGTGAAGTGAGGTGCCCAGAGGTGCTGATGAGAGACATGTGAGCAGCCAGGCTGAGCATCTGATTATTTTTCAGTACTTATCAGAGGAAGTGTGAATTGCTCCCTAATTAAGAGCTAATGCCAACTTCTGTGAAATTTGTTGTCATTCACCTGTGAATTATCCTCCTGAAATTTAACTTGACTACAGGAAGCTTTCTAGTGGTAACATTTTCCTCTGGGAGCTTAATTCGAATGGTAAAATACCTCTGTAGATGCTTATTGAACAGGAATTGATGCTCATGAGCCTGGCGGGGCAGTGTGGGTAAGCACTTAGAAGCCTCAGCAGCCCTCATATATTTGGTGTTTAAAATACAGCTAGAAATCTCTTGGAAAATCAGCATCCTTCTTGGTTTTCCAGGTCTGTACATTGCCAGCTAAGGCAGAAGAACTGATGGAGCACAAGTAATTCCTGTCTTCCTTCAGTGCTCTTGTTTGCAGGCCAGCCCAAAGCCAGGGAGATGCAAACACATGGACACAAAGAAGATAGAGAAATCCGGGAGATAAGAATTGAACCAGAACCTGAGAGGACTTCATCCACCAACAGTTTAGGAGCTTGATTTTTAAAATCTTTTCGCCAAGATTCAACTTGATTTCTACTTTTAATTTCAGTTTGAAAGCTCAGACCCCCATATCCTTTGGGAGTGTCAACAGGAAGAAACTATTGCCCTTGCTGATGGCTCCTGCAGAGCTGCAGTGTGCCCCAAACTGAAGACAGGAGAGGTCAGGACTTCACCCAGGAGGTTACTTGTTAAGAAGTCTGAAGTGAGGTTTCCTAATTAATCCAAGCACTTGTAGCCTGCCCAAACAAGAAAGACAAGTATAATGTCCCTGCACCCGAGTCATTTAACTATTAACCCTGAAGGAGAGTAAGGAGATACCTAAAACAATGACCCAGTTAATTCTGCATGGCATTTGAGTGCAGGGTTATTTGTCGCTACCTGCGGGTCTGGTGATGTCATCATCTGCCAACTCTTAGCATGACAGAAGGCCAATATTTTAAAACAGGATTTTAAAGCTGGCTTTGGCATGAGCACATCTGACACTGGCATAATGCTATGCCTTTATTCATCCATTGCTTTTTTTCCACTGATCCTGAGCTGCACACCTGGACTGGGATAAGCAATGGACATGATGACCCAGAGCTTGAGGCTGAGATATGGGGCAGAAACACGGCTTTTTATAAAACACAGCCCAGTGGTTCCAAACCTGAAAGACCCTTCCGAGATCAGAGTCAGGAGTTTTTTTCAGATCTCACTCAACATAAGGTCCCAAGAGAGTTGTTCATCCCATCAAAACCTGTGATTCTATCTTCATGCTTTTTTTTTCCTGAGGGTGTAGTGGCCGCATCCTGCTGCCTTGCCTGCTGGGGCAGATGCTCTCTGTGAGAAACCTGCTCTTTTTTACCAGCATAGAGAGAGGTTAAAAGTCTGTGGGTGGAGACCAGCACAGAGTGCCCATTGTACATGCGTGCATACCAGAGCAGTAACTCCCTGGAATGCTGCACTGCTGAGCTTTTACCACCTTGTGTTTGTGTTGCAGCACAGAAGTGTGTGTACATTGCGTCCTTTTCCAAGAAGATTAACAATGTGAAATGGCAGATAAATAGGACGGCTTTTTTTATTTTTTTATTTTTTTATTTTTGATTGGAGTGGTTAGAAGAGGAAGGTAACTCTGACTCCCATCACCTCCATAGGCAGAAAGGAGAGGCAAGGTGCAAGGTCAGTCAATTAGGTGGAGCAGCTCCTTTCAGCTGGGAGGCTTTAATGTACTAATTGCGTTAGTAATTAGTGAGTACCACATGGTAAACACTTGGGTTCAAAACAATGTAAGAGCATTAACTAATCCACCCTACAATAGATTTGAATGAAGTAAGCATTATACTTGTTTCATTGGTGGTGAAAGGGAGAGACTTGCTGACCATAGGGTGAGTCAAAATAGATGTGTGGGAGACTGGGCCTGTTAGTTTTTCAAGATCATCTTCAGTAAAACCAGCACGACAGCAGCTCTGGGAAATGAACCTCCTCCCTGTTGCCGGAAGATGTGCACAGCTTTAAGCATAAGTTCTTTTGTGATGCTCAAGCAAGATACTTCTATCTACTCTGAGCTTCAGAAAGTATTTCTAAGGCTAGATAGCAGGCTCCATGACACTTTTTTTTTTTTTTTTTTTTACTTTCCTTTCTGCTTGTCCTGTCAGTCTGTGCTATTTATGGGAAGCTTATTTGATTTGTGTCTGCTGGGATATGGGTGGAGGCCACCCAATGACTTCACAGAGCTGTAAGATACTTCGGACTTTCCATTACAAACCATATATGCCAGGGCTGGACAAGCGACCTATGGCCATACTCAGATGGAAACACATCTTGTATGTGTAACCTACGTAACTTAAGAAATAGTGCTTTTTATTACTTCTTCCTGAACTTTAAGCTTATGCAAGGTATTTATAAAAAGCGAAAAGAAGTTAGTGGCACAAGGACACATGAGTTTCTGGGTGAATTATGTATTAAAGCAAAAGAGCCCACCTATGGTGCAGGTACAATTTCATGATAAGTAATTAGCTTTTTGTTTTTTGGGTTTCTTTTGTTCGTTTGTTTTGTTTGTTTTTACAATTTATTCCAATTAAGAATTGCCTGGGAAAACCCTGTCTGTTCTCAGATTCTGCTTGCAGTTGGTCAAGGGGTGGGGTTTGGCAGTGCAGTAGAGCTCATCTAATAGGGAACTGCTGCTGTAAAGGTAGGTCTGCGCTGCCAGCCCTTACTCCTCACAGTGTTGTCTTCTGTGCTTCTCCCTGCTCCAAAAGGGATATTCCTCTCATCCACCAGAGAGCCATTTTGGGGTACTAAAGTAGCAAAAAAAAAAAAAAAAAAAATCTTTATTTCTCTCTGACATGTTCTGCTGCTAATGAAGATAAAAATCTACAATGGCTTTTTGTGGTGGCTACAGAGGTGGGGGTTATTTGCTGAATGTTAGAGAGAGAATGTCCAAAATCTTTTCATGCCTTTAAGAACACTTTGCATGTCTCTGTCTCTCTCTCTCCCTCTCTCTTTTTTTTTTTTTTCCCCTAACAAAGTATTTGGTATTTGGCTTAGTCTGTAATGTGGGTGATGCATCTTCTGTCTCAGCTGAATACTCACAGCTTCTCCCACCAAATTTGGCCAAGCTGAGTGCTTCCATCTTGGTGGGCTCTGTCTAATGACTCAAAAAAAGTTCACATTTGGAAGGGTGAGAGCACAGTTGTTGCTTCAGGGGGCTCAAGCTTTTTCAATAGGGTACTAGTAACCAAGGGCATACTGGAAACTCTGGAAGACACTGACTTTGTCTTTCTTCCATTGCCCTCAACACTTATGTTGTGCTTTAAAAACAATCCAGGTGTATCCTCCTCCTGTGCAGAATCTCAGGGTACATCTCAGATTCCAGACAATTTGTGCCTGGCCCAGAAAATATCGAATAATTCACCCAAAGTGGAGCACCTCACAGCACAACCAGCAGCCACGTGCATCTCTCTGATCTGCAAAGTGTGGGAACAGGGAGTTAGGTGTTCTCTTGCTTCTTTCATAGGGAAACACTATATTTTCTGATCACTGATGAATGTTTATCCTTCTTTTCCCACCTTTACATATTTTTTTCTTCTCGTCTTTGAAAACCCAATGATGAGGAGCATCTTGGAATAGGAATAATAGCTGGTTTCTCTCTCGCTTCTGTCCCTTCAAGTCAGAGTTGAATTAGGTTATATTTACATGTTCCTTTTCATTTACTTTTTAATATCCATTTTCATCAGTTCAGAGATGCATATGACAATGTTTCCTTGACTTGGTTGTTCTCTGGTGTCAGATCCAGATATCAGAAATGCCAGCTATCCTTGGTTCCCACTTTGTGTCATGGAAGGCTTTTCAGATATCACAGGAGAAGCCCGACTGTGACATGTTTCAGTTATTTCCACACTTGTGTTCAACATGTGTGTGTGTTAACTTCCTTTTCTCTTTCCTTTCTTTCAACAGTGGCAGACCTGATCTCTTCTGAGCTACTTGCAGACTCTGGGCCATTGAGACGTTGACTTTGGCAGACAGTTACCATTCATTCCTTGGGATCGTACCTGCCCTTTCTCTCCCCATCCCCTCCTGCACTGCCCTTACCTCTAATAAAACTTCAGTGTGTCACGGTCCTGCTATGGAGCCCAGGGAGTCTTTGGGCAGCTCCCGTCAAAGGGGAGGTGAGGCAGATTTCCTGCCAGCCTCTGTGTCCTCTGCCAAACCACCGTCTGCCTCCAGCTGCACAGGGGAGACAGTGCTGCCGACAGCTGGCTCGGGGAAAGGGATCCCGGTGAGCGGGGAGCGTATGGAGCCTGAAGAAGAGGATGAGATGGGTTCTGGGAGAGATGTGGATTCCACTTCCAATGCAGACAGCGAGAAGTGGGTGGCAGGAGATGGGCTGGAGGAGCAGGAGTTTTCCATCAAAGAGGCAAACTTCACAGAGGGGAGTTTGAAACTAAAGATCCAGACGACCAAGAGAGCTAAGAAGCCCCCAAAGAACTTGGAGAACTATATTTGCCCACCAGAGATCAAAATCACCATCAAGCAGTCCGGGGAGCAGAAGCTTTCCAGAGCTGGGAAAAATAGCAAAGCTGCTAAAGAAGAGGACAGAGGACACTCCAAAAAGAAGGTAAGTCCTACACTTTTCTGTATTTCTCCTTGAATCAGAGACAGCCTTGAAAGAAGAGGGATAGGGTGGGGTGAAACCTGTGGCACTTTTGTCCATCGCATAACCTTCAGACCATTTGCAAAGCCCTGCTCGATTGTAAAGAACACAGTTCAATGCAGGTATCATCCTACACTGCTGTGTGCTGATCTTGAGCTATCCTTCAGATAAACCAAGTGGGAAAGGATCAGATGTTCAGCTGTGCCTCTGTTACTTGCATGCATAATTGAGATTTAAGATTAATTGCTATATGAGCAATGAATGGTGGAGCCCACTTCTTGATTGCTTTGTGTCCAAGCACTAATATGTGGAGTCTTTTGGCAGCTGAAGTGTTTGACTACATTTTTAAAATACAGGTATGTGCACAGAGAACAACCAAATCCATTAATGTATACCAAGCAAACAGCTCCATTATTCTTATTTACAACAATGTGCTAGCACCACTATAGTTATGCTTCAGGAAATACTTTCATTATAAGCCTAATCTTCTTGAAATACCCTTCTGGAAGGAAGTTTTGGAGTGGTATTTTTTTTTTTTTTCAATAATTTACTCAATTTGGCATAAGGAAAAAATATTGCTATGAATTAGTTGCTTCCACAAATATTATTTTTGTTTTCTAGCTGGCTTAATTTTCAGTGATATGTCTCACACTTATCTGAATGAAGTTTCTTTTAAAAGCTGCTTTAAACAGCACTGGAGGAATGACCCCTTGTGACTGCTCATGTTATTTTGGATGTAGAAGTGTTTTCTGCCCTAGGTGTCCAAGGAACCTTGGTCAGGTTGCATCTCAATACAAATAATTTGCCCTATATCTTTAGGAGTACATGGGTATCGTGATGAGTTCAGACACTGGTCCAAGTTTAATGAAAGACTTGTGAGTAGCTCCAAACCAAGTTCATGTAGAATATAGGTTTCCACCTGTTTAAAGCTTAGAGTTGACTTGGTCCTGCTGTTCAATTCTTTGATCCCTTGCTGCATACAGGTTGTCACTTCTCCTGCACCTCATATGTACAATTGGCTACTTTAAGCCTGGAGTAGGCTACTTGCTATTTGCCCTGTCAGGAAACAGTCTCCTTCAAAGCTCAAAATCATTTTCTGAAGCAGAAGCATTTCTCATTGGCACTGGATAGGTCCCATGAAGATTAACATCACTCACTGAGAGTACTTCTCTTAGAAGCTGAACTTGTAGGGGAAAAGCAAGGGGACTTTTTCATTGAACGCTGATAAATTGCAGACTCCTTGTTCGTGGAAAAACAGCACAGAAGAGTTTTCATCCAATAAGACATTGGGAATGGGTTTTCCCAGCTATTGAGAAGGACAAGTGCTTGTGTAAGAATGTGCTCAGAGACAGCGTGGGTGTCACAACAATTCCTCCATGGCCAGGCAGGAAGAGAAGACTTGTTAATCACTGCTCACCTCACATGGGCTGTGGAAAAAGTGTTTAGAAATTGGACCTTTATTTCCCAGTTAGACGAGTATGGAAGGCAAGCTCATTCTTCTATGTGGCCATTCAGAAAGGTTAAATAAACAAAACAAACTGTAATGAAGTCAGCAAGGGGTGGGAGGGGAGGAATGAAAGTAGCATGGTTATCTTCAGGGTGACTATAATTGCAGAAAGATAAAGAGTTGGAAAGGGGAGGATTGCGGTCTGAGTGTGGTTGAATTCAGCTTTTGTTGTGAGCTCTGAGCTGGTTTGTGCTGTGTGCACAGGCTGCAAGCACTCTGGGTAAGAACTGGCCTAATCCAACCATTAAAAAAAAAAAAAAAATAGAGAAAACACAGCAGGTGGATGCTCTGAGCAGATGGGGAGAGGCCCGTCGCACTGGCGAATCGATTATCATAACACCCAACGGCTGCCATGCAGCAGCTGCTGAGCTAGGGTCAAGCGTGCTGGAGGCAACGTGGTGGAGACGAGTCCCCAGCAGGGACCTGGAGGACCACAGGGCTGTGATCTTGAGGGGTTTGATGCTTGGAGTTGCACCCTACATCCCCAGGGTGGTGAGCATCCTGTATGCCTGCAGCCAGATGGGATTTAACACGCAGCTGGCTCTTAGCCTGTGGGTTAGACAATCATATCTTGGCTGTGAGCATCTTGCATTGAGGAGTGATGAAAGGCACTGCATGAGAAGTAAGTCAAAAATCAATGGGAGAAGTACCCCAGCGCTGGCAGTGTGATTGCTCTAATGGCTGCTATGCATGTCTTGTGGCAGCTACAGAGTTTTCTGTAGAGATACAGATAGGAGGAAATGGCAAGCTGCAACTTGAATGGTCCATCTGTGGGCTTTTCTAGGAGAGAGAAGCGCATAGCTGGCTTCTGTAGATACTTGCATAAACAGAACTGCGGTAGAGGTTTCAGAGTGTTTGTCACATTCAAATGATTCTGGTGGTTTTGATCTTGCAGTCACATGCACTCCTTCAGGGTTAGGTTGCTTTAATCAACATGAACTCAAGAAAACCAAATAGTGGCAGCAGCAGGAGGAAACAATGCATCCAAGCTCATGGGGCAGATATGCAGGTGGTGTCACTGTACTGTCCTCTGTGAATTTCTGCCAGGAGAATTTGGCCCAGTGTATGCGTTTCTCTTGTGCACAGACATGGTAGTGTTATCGGAGTTTGTCTCCTTACTTGTGGATGCAAGACATTTATATGGGTCCCACAGACTGGCATATAAGGATGGAGAGCTGAGCATAGCCTGCACTGCAAATGCCATGCTCTTGTTTTGAGAGTGGAATGTCCTACACCTCATACAATGAGTTTATCTTCCTCCAGAAGGAGGAACAAGCTCTATCAGGGATAGAAGAATCACTCAAGTTTGTTGCATAATAATTTCAGCCACATCTCCTGTAGTCCCCAGTGCTTTGAAACATCACTTCAGCATTCTTGCAAGAGTTAGAATACACACAGTGCAGAGGGCAAGTAATGAAAACATGGAAGCAATTTAAGTAACAGCATGTGGGTACACAAAGGACTGGTAATGCCAGCAATGTAAAAAGGGTCTGCGAACGGGGGATAAGGTATTTGTGGCCACTTAGGGAGGAAGAAGATATGCCTGCTCCTAAGCTTTGCACTGTTCTGCTAATAAGGCAATTGGGGCCACGGTCTGATTTATAAAGCTGTGGTCTGGGGTTCAGTGCTGACTACGAGGGGGCTGTGAAGAGCTGCACTGCTCATGTGCGTTTTTTCTACCTTTGATTCCAGCTGCTACGCTATATTAAAAGATGTGAGCACACATTAAATACTTTCCTCATGTTGCTTTTCCATGTGAGCAATTGCCCTGGGGATGTTGCATGATGGTGAATGGGATGGAAAGGATGCCGGCAGGGGATGGTGTTGGGTGTGGTTGCCCTTGCCCTGAAGCAGGGTGGGAGAGCTCCAGAGTTGGAACCCTCTGCTCCATTGGCTTGGAGGCTTGGCTGCGACCCAAAAACTTTGGATTTTTAAGTGGTGGCCTTGCCAAGTTTCACATCAGCTTCCCCCTCTTGAAGATAAGAGCAAAAGTTGCTTCCTACCCCTCTCCTGGGGCTGTTTGGTGGCTGAATTGCAGCTTGGGCTGTCGGTGCAGCTGGTTGTGCAGTGACTGCAGAGTGTGGAGATGTTGTGCAAGTGTGTGTACTCTGATTTCAACCATTCTGTGCCTGAGGATGGGGTGGGCTGGGCCGTAGCCACTTCAGACTCAATGAAATTGAGCTATTCACCAGTCTAGATGGGAGGGGGAGGGAAGAAGAAAGCCAGGAGCCCAAAGGATGTGTCAACGTGCTCTGTCTGCAGATTGTGAGCCTTGGAGCCACTGCTCTGGGTACTCTCACCTACAGCACAGTTGCTCAAGTCCAGAACCCTCGACATCCCTAGGAGTGTCTTTTCCCTCAGATAAGGGCGAAAGTTGTCAGTTTGGAAAGGCACTAAAAGTGTGGCACCAAATGCAAAGAAGCCATCCATCAGCATTCCCTGCCTGTCACGTAGTGTTTAACAAACCCCAGATGAGTAGCAGTTCCCTGGTTTTGCTTTACTTCCTTCCCCCCTCCCTTCCCTTCATTTACTACCCTGTCTAGTTTTGTGTCTGCAAACACTTCATTTCCACCCCCTTCCTTTCTATAAACATAGCCTGATAAATTTTCTTGGTGCTTCCATACATGTAATGTCTCGCTTCAGGGGATGTTAACTATTTTAATTATTAGAAAATTTCTTTTTTGGGGGAGCTTGGGATGGGCAAACGCACCTAATTTCTGAATAATAAGTGTCAGCAAGCTGACTAGAAGTAAAACTTTCTTGTGTGCAGTCAGCTGAAGTTCTGTCCTTGGAATTTTTTATTTTATTTATTTATTTTTTTCCCCCACTGTTTCCCCTCCTGCATGCCTGTGGATATATACTATTTCTCTACAGGAAACTCTGCTACCCATTTTTGTTTGAAATTCCATTCATCGTCTTCGTTTCCTCTTCTTAGCCCCACACAGGCAGCTTTCTCCTCCAGTTCCCCCCTCTGTGAGGATGCTCATTCATATGCTTTTCCCTTTGGACCCCTCTTTTTCTACAAGATCACGAACACTCGCACTCCTCCTTTCCATCCATTTCTTTGTACTGTTGACTGCACACTGCACTTTCCCTCCAGGTTCTCGTGTGCATCTGCATTTCTTGCCGGATTACCACTGTGCTGTACTCTTCTCCCTAGTGACTTGTGAGCATGATCATCCAACTGCTGAAAAGTGCAAGCTTATTCCCCTTTGCCAAGGGTATCCTCATGTGAATTGTTTTCTGAGTCATCATTTCCTATTGCAATCTGAACATGGCTTGGGGTACTGGTATAAGCACTTGCTGATTTGGTATATAAGCCAAGGTTTAGCAAGGAGAATGCCCTTGTTCTTCTGTTTGAAGTGGCAAACTCTGACTTTTACAGCTTTTTTTTTTTTCTTTTCTAAAGAATGGATCACCTGTATCACCTTCAGTCCAGGGCTGTTTCTTTGCTGGC